GGAATGAAGGTGTGTGTACTTCAGAGCTTTTGAGGATGGTTGGTAGTAGCTCCTGTTTTGATTTGTAGAACTCATCTCCAGGCATCTGTTCAAAAGGGACCATTTGTTTCATACCTATTGAACTGACTGCAGAAACCAGAGATGGTCAAGATGATGAATCAAATTGAAACCCTGCTAAACTAAGGGATTTTTTAATAGATGGGTCTGAGTACACCCTCTGTGCCTCAAAAAGTGTAAGCGACAGATACTGCCCGTTCCTAAAGATTTAGGCAGGAGGAAGGGAGGGGAGAGCCATCCTAAAATGGGCTCCTTCAGTAACAAACTGCTTTTCCTGGTGTTTTAGGAACTCCACAAAGGTGTTCTCCCTCCGAGGATTCCATTAAAGAGCCCCACATGTGGCGGGCGGTGGCAAACATCCTGCTGGGGGCCAAAGTCCCCGGGGGCAGGACCCTGCTCTCTGGGCCCAGCCGGCATCGCGGGCAGGGGGCTGCTCTGGGGCTCCACAGCGCCCGGATGCTCAGCATGAGCCTGGGGATACAGAAGGTGGAAGCTTTGGACGCGGGTCATTTGCTCCGCGTGGAGTGGGAGGATGGGAACGAGAGCCGCTACCCCTGCGTGTGGCTGCGGGACAACTGCCAGTGTCCCCGCTGCTTCCTGCGCTCGGCCAAGGCCCGCAGGCTGGTCCTCAAGGACCTGGATGTGAACATCGTGGTGAAGGACGTGGCTGTGGCAGATGGGAAAAAGGTATTCGAAGCAAAACATCATGCTTCCCCCCAACCCGCTTCCCGTGACGCTTGCCTGGCAATGCTTGTTGATCTGTCTGTTAGAGGCAGTCCCTGGTTGTGCTTTATCTGCTCTGTCTGCAAACCCTTCTGTATGTGTGTGTTTGCAGAGCTTTGAGGAATAACTGCAGTTTGGGGAAATCAGATCTTCCCACCTTTATGTCAAACTTCACTTTGCAAACGTTGTGCAGAGAGCACAGAAAGGCAGGCTTCAGATTTTGGAATATAATTGTGCTTTTTACAATTCTGCTCTATGGTTCTTTGCAGCAAATCCTCCAAAAAAAATATAGGTGTTGCCCTTACTTTTGATTACACTTTCACACAGGTCTCTTTTTTTCCTCTTTATTCCGTAAGTAAATGTCTTGAAAATTCGACAAACAAACATCAAATTGATGATGACTTTAATCCATAACAAAAGTTAGCTAATTTCCAATGGGCACAAGTCTTAATCTTAGAGCAAGCACTGAAACCAAAGTTGAAGCCAATATTCAGAGCTGGCCTAGTGTCTGTATCTGTATCTACCTGTCTACATCAATATTTTTTCATGAAAATGAGGAGGCTGTTGGGCAAGACAGGACAGGAACTGCCCCCCCCCCCATGAATTTTAATCTTCCCTGCCACACAAAAACCTAATACATCACTTTTATAGGTTTTATTAAAAGCAGTACTCTTTTGATATGCAAATTGATTCCCTTCATTTTACACTTAAAGATGTTTTGAACATGTTGAATATGCAGCAGACAAACCTGTCACCCTGCAAGGGTGAGTTTGCAGATGCTGACCCATGGGGAGTACCTCTCAGCCACAGGGTAAGGGTCTGTATTGAGGAATTCTGGGCTTCCAAGTTGGTTGTCATAAAAATTAATGCTGTGTAAATTCATGCTTTGAATGGGCAAATGTATTAAGATAGTAGAAGGGTTATCTTCTTCCACTTGCACTGGTGTGTTACCTTAATGGGAACGAGCAGAATTATGTGAAATGCGAATCAATTCCTAACCAATAGCCTTGAGAATTCAGTTGAGGGTGAGTGCTGCACTTTAGGTTCATGACTAACAAAGCCATATAATTTCTTCCCATGTTTTTTTGCAGGAATTATAAAAATAAATAAATAAAAAAAATAAACCCAACATTATTAAAAAATTATTTCAAAGAGGGAAGATTTTTCAAAACCAGGAGAGGGATTTCTCTCCTAGCATTTCTTTTTTTTGCCTGTGTTTCTTGTCCTTTTTTTTAACAAGCTGTCAGTGTTTTGGAAGATATTTTTGCTTTCTTCTGAGCTGTGGTGAAGCTCTCTCCCCAGTGATATGTGCCAGCTTCCGTGATTCTCCTCTTTCTGCTTTGCCCAGCTCCTGCAGTGAAAACAGCCCACACAAAACAGCTAATAAGGTCAAGGGTTCATGTGAAAATGACTGTTTATAAAAGGTATCAGAATTTGGAAGATGTTCAGGTTGGATTTTCATTACTTGTTTGCCATTATGCTACAGGGAAGGCTTGCTTAACTGTGATATTGATCTAAATATTACAATCTCTGTATTTTCTAAGGATTCTTTTGATTTTTCTGGCTGATGGTTTGGGAATTTTTTTATTCTAAAATTCTCTTTCATTTTATATTGGAAGATCTCTATTACATGGCCTGATGAGCATGCAAGTGAATATGAAGCTGAATGGTTGAAAAAACGATGCTTCTCTGAAGAAGCCAGAGCAGAAATGAGAGAAGATTTATTTTTACCAGGTAGGAACTCAAACCACATCTGTCACACTCATTTCAAATGCCAGGAGTCTGACACAGTGAGGACCAAGTCTATCCAGCTAGAGCAGCAGCAACTGCTTTTGTTGCTCAGTGCCAGGCTGTGCATGCACAGAAGGAACCAGTGGTTACCCTTTCTCTCTTCTAACATCTGGACCTGAGAGCAGTTCAGCTGGCTGGGTCACGTTTGCTCTCCTCAACACCTTTTCCTTCCAGAAAGGATTAGTAGGTCTCAAAAATGAGCCGTGGGGACTAGCACTGGTTTATGTGACAATGCAACTGTATGTAGTCTGTTTAAATTATTTAAATTCTAATTTTTAGGAAGATTATTGAGACTTGCAAGAGAGTTAAAACTGAAATTTAAAAAACAAATTCCCTTTCAAAGGCCTTCTGTTAAAATGTAACTGGCATCACAGTGTCTGGTGCTGAAGTTCAGGTTGTGTTTGCTCTGTGTCCCCTCCTTACTGCAATAGTTGACTGTCTTTTGGTCACAAAGCATTTTGTGCAACCAGGAGTGTAACATTTTACCCTTGTACAAATCACTCACCCTTCTGAGGGAATAATTATAAAGCCCACTGGGTTTGCCTTGATGTACATCATCATTTCTTTGTCAGCCTTTCAGAATGTGAGCATGAAATGTGTGAAAACCTGGAAGATTTCTGCTGTTGCTCTTGACAGTGTTCCTGTGGGATCTGGTGTTGCAAAAAGCTGTGGATCTGTGTTCAGAGTTAAGATTGTATCTGTTAAAGCAGGATATTACTTTAGAAAAAGGAAATTAGGGACAGACTGATGGTGTGAAACTCAGATCCAGTTATCAGCTTCCTCAGAGCTCAGCAAAAGGCAAATCTGTGACTGGTTTACACTCCTCTTTTTCAGGTATTTTTTTTTCTAACAAAGAAAAGAAAGTTTGTGGTTTTACTTTTCCACTGAAAGATGAGAAATGGGAAAACATGTGGCCCTAGGTATCTCCTGCATCTGCATTTTGTTTGGGACTTTAGGGACAAGTGCAGGGGCCAGTTATTTTTCCCAGTACCTGCAGGCCAAATATTCCCTATCTCCTAGCACCCGTTCTCCTAAACAAAAGCCAGTTCTTAAGATTCATCCTTTTATATCTGGCTTAAAAATTAAGCAATGAGTAAAATTTCCATTCATTTCAGCAGATCATATAACAGGCTCTTCATAGTTCAGCTTGGAACTCTTTTCCCCCAGTGATATAAAAGTTCATGTCTATTTTAGCTTTGACAAGAATAAACCACATTGTTCGCTATTCTGGAGGGCTGGGCATGTTCCCAAAATAAAGGTGGTGAAGATGCAAACCTCATTTGAGGGAACTTTCCTTGATTTCTCAGGTAGCAAGAACTTTTATTTGGAGAAATGAAGAAGCTGTGGAAGCTAGCAAGATGTGTTGTAGTCTCCTGGGGGGAGGTAAATGAATGTAAATTGAATGTTGCTTTAATTAATGCCCAGACAGATTTGTCTAGATCTCTGTGTTTATTAGCAAAGGTGAGATTTCAGTTATGAAAACTAACTGGCTGTGATTTGCCTTTGTACACACACATTTATACACGGCTTACTCTCAGCATCTTAATACAATGCTGGGTTTGGAGGCCAGTTGTCCCCTCTGCTACTCCTGATGTCCAGTGGAGACATCTAAGTAAAATAAACACCAAAGATAGTTATTCTTTGGGCAATGCTTCTGCAAATTCTGTTTTCCAGAATAGATTGGAAGGAATACATTTATAAAAGTTACACTAAATAAGGGCCTGTGTTAACTTTGGCTGTGTTCAGTAGTGTCATTCTGCTTCTCATGTTCCCAGAAAATACAAGTCTAGAATTAGCTTCCTTCTAGTCAGTGAGGTTACACACTGCAAATCACATGCCCTCAAGTAGTTAATCATATCACAGCAATATTATATTACATATGATGATATGGAATGCCAGCCCTGCATGCTGGTTCAACAAATGTAAGAGCAAGCTCACAAGACTTCTCTAGTTAGAGGTTAAACCTCACTGCTGACATGAGCACAGATGTGACAGGTTTTTTTTTCCTTTTTTTAATGTTACTTTTATGATGAATTTTCATCATGTCTTCTAATTCAGACATGTAGTAAAACCCAAAAAGAAGAGTAGGTCAGATTTTCTCTGTGTGGTGGAAGTGCCTATAAATAACTCTATGGTAATATGTCAAGTTTCCCCTTTTAAAAACAGTGCCAGATCCCACCTGTTGGTATGCAAAGAAGTCTACTGTTTGTGTACATCAAGGCTCCTTTCAGCCTAGCTTACAAGATATTTCCAAAAGAGCAGTGAAAGAGCCATAGTCTACTTCATCAGTTCTGATGTCTCAGAGATACTTTTTTCCCCCTCCTGTTGACCTGTGTTCCAACAAATGTTGCAGGGAGTGATTTAGCACCTCGTGCAGTCTCACTGTAACAGGATTTGTGTGTGGCAGAGGAAGCCTGTGGGAGACTCTGAGCACAACTGGTGCTCTCCAGTATCCAGGGACTCTCCAGTATCCAGGTCCTCTCCAGTATCCATCCTCTCATTGCCTTGCATTGCATTTGCTGAGGCTCATTTCCCAACACACTGGCATCCCACCAGCAGGATGTGGGGTGAGAAAAAAATTAATATCACAAGTAGGTTTTCCTGTTGGATGGTGAAGAAGATGGAGCAGATGTAGTACCTGATGCTACTTGCATAATTAGTATTTTTAACCTTAGGTTAGGTTGAGGTTTTGACCTAAGGTTAAAGGTTTCAGATGGTGATGGTCCTTTAAGATGTGGTCATATGTTATTGGATATATATTCAGCTCCACCAAAGTTTGAATCAGCATGTTAACAACATCAAGGGTGCTTTCAGGTTCTCTGCTAGGTCCTGAGAGATGAAAATTTTAGGAGGAAGAAGTTAAAAGCTGCTTTTTTCTTACAGAAAGAGTTCAATAATTTAAATTTTTCCAGTAGAAGTAATGAATACCAGCTAGGCTGACATATGTATAATTCACAATATAGCAAAAATACATCTGGCTTTCAACAAACATTCAAATGCACATTGTAGACAAAATAATTTTAGATGAGGGAAGTTAAATCTATGATGTCTAGACATTGTTTCCCATATGACTCCAGTATAAAAGGTTTTGACCAGCACTGTCCCAATCTGTATAGCAAATGCTGAATAATTCCAAGTGTTGTTTGATCCATGAACAGTGGCTGAGGGAACTAGGCAAAGGCCATCTTCTCATTTTGTACAAACTCTAATAGAACATGGCTTTTTATGACTAGTCTGGTATGATCAAGAAATGGGATTATTTTTTTTTATCTTCCCCCCCAAATTATTGTTCTGAAATTGAAAGAGTCAGTGACTCATTCATTCTCTCAAAAGTAGTTCATTCTTCCCATTTTGAAAAACACATTGATCTCAAGTTTTATTAGCCATAATGTAAATGGTAAATAAAGACAAGAAGTAATTCTATGAGACTTGTGTTTTTGTCTTTATGAATTGTTCAGCTATGTTTTTATACATAAAGATTTTTAGCTTGACAACTGCAGCTGTGCAAGTGAGACTGAAGGCTGCCCAGGCACTAATGGCTCATTCCCATCTTTCCTACCCCTTCAGCTTGTAGAGCTAATGTTCTTGGATTTCTACTATAGTACAATGGAAACTGTATTAACTGGAGTTATGCAGTGGGAAAAAATGTTCCAATCTGACGTGATAAAACCGTGAAGAACATTGAGTGGGATCAATTAGCACCAGGAAATCCTGGGAAAGAG